TATGCGCTTCACAACCAAAAGGTGACTAGTACGTGGAGCATGCATAAACTGAGAAACCAAGTGCTAATCATAAGTAATATCAGGTCTAGTCAAATTCAAATAGTGTAAAACACCTACCGTGCTTGATTTTCTCCAGCAATCAAAATAGTTGATTGGATTTAACTATGTTCCGCACACCAAATAAGCTCTTTTACCAATTGAGCAGGTTGCCGAACCTTTAGGAGCAGGTTGCCGAATGAGGTTTCTGCTTTAGTGTTGAAGACACAGTAAAGAACTATGATCTAAAACATTATTGGATTTTTAGAATAGACTAAACACATAGGTATGAAGGATTTAGACCTATTCAAACATAGATCCTTTTTGAAGAATTGGAGGTTTCTGCTTTAGTGTTGAAGACACAGTAAAGAACTATGATCTAAAACATTATTGGATTTTTAGAATAGACTAAACACATAGGTATGAAGGATTTAGACCTATTCAAACATAGATCCTTTTTGAAGAATTGGGAATAAGGAACAAGGAAAGTGAAATGAAGTAAACTGGGTAGTTTACTGATCAGTATTTTGAGGAAGTTGTTTGTTTTGGAAAGATGTGAAAGTGAGTGAGAAATGTTGTGTCTTGTGGGAACTGAATTTACAAAGTGATACAAGATATATTCTGGTTCAGAGGAGGTGTAATCATCCTACATCCAGTCCCACCCTATTTCAGATGGATTTCCACTAAATGAATATACCCATTACATTTAGTGCTCAATCTACGCAGGCAAAGATTGTGAGGTTTTCCACTAATGACATTAACAAGCCAAAAGTTACTCATGTTTTTGTCCTTCACTAACCTTCTGAATTTGATCACAAAGTCTTCCAGAGTTTACAAACTAGTCTGTTTACAAGAGTAAAGCTAAACTACTAACTAACTAAGCTCTAATGATGTATATGTATTTGAACTATTCGAAGAGCTTAGGTGAGTGGGGTGAGAACTATGAGGTTGAAGGAAGATCAACACTTTCTTTTGCTAGATATGTCGTATGATCCCATCTTCCTTCTTAGCTCCACACTTGTTCTTCATGCATTCCTTCTGTATTTAAAGACTGCGTTGTTGAAGCTCCTCCGTTGGCTGAAGAGATTCAATCTTGACCGTTGCTTTGATCCACTGATTGTTCTATTTGACTAAAAGGTAGCATGATTGATTTTTGTCTTTTTGTGACACGGATTGTTTCTTCACCTCAACTTGTATTCCTCATTTCAATGCTTTGATAAAGATAAGATATTTCAATCTTTTATCCATAGAGTTGAGTATATAAGTTGGGTGATTGTTCAATGCTATCTTAGAACATAACATACTTGCTTTTAGTAAAAGTAATATAATGTTACAAGAAATTTTTATAAGGTGGTAAAAAATTCTTATGAAATTACTTTTTGTCTTTGTCTTTTATTTGACTGCAAGTTGATCTTTTGTTTACTTGATTTGTGCTATAGAGAAGACTTTAGAAAATTTCGGTAGCCTTGACTAAAATACTAAGTCAAGAGCTAGTTGAACGTTTTCAATAGGCTACTGATTGTAGTTTTTAGGTGGCTGCCGAACTACAAAGGGTTTCAGTTAACTCTTTTTCGTAGCATATTGCCCTTTATTCTTTTCTTTTCTTTTGGTATGTTTCTTCTCTTTTTGGTACTCCTTTTGTTTTTCTTGAGTACTTTCTTTTCAACTAATAACGTAGCACATTACAATAAACTAACAAGAGTAAAACAATAGGAGATCAAGTGATCTAGTCTAATACAGGAAAGGGGGTGGCATCATCAAAACCTTTTAATCATCAAAATTTGGGGACCTAACACTTTAGGTGTGAAGTGATGTACTTTGACCATGACCAATGCTTGCACTCCAATCGGGGTAGATACGGCATGTGTTGGGTACATCATGAAGCACATGGAGTAGTAGTAGCCTACAAAGAATTCATTCCTCATAACATATTGAGAGAGAACATTTTACTTCTCATATCTAGATGGATCATAAAGTCATTGACCAATCCAAGGATATATTCGTTTTGGATATCTAATATGGTCATTATGTATCTTCAAGAAAGATTGAGAGACAGAGACTAAGTAATTGGAATAGACACAATATCAAGTTCTAGACCTAGTTGGATGTTCGAGAATAAAAGAACTGTATCACTATGAGCTCTATATTACGAGGAGTTTGAATAGTCCTCACAAACGTCCTTATATATTGAGTTTGTCTAGAGAATCGTTTACGAATTCACTAAGACTTGATTAGTGCTTAACATATAAGGCCCTATGAGTCCCACACCAGTTATTATTCCTTCTAATTGAATTGTTAGAAGGAATTAAATATTAATTGGATTAAATAATATTTAATTCGTAATACTGAAAATGGATAAATATTAATTAGATTAAAGTATATGTAAAATCATGAGGTTGAAGGAGGGTTTTATTTGTTAGAATCAATTAAGTAAGATAAATTAGATTTATTATAATCAATTAAGATGTATTTATTTATTTATTATTAAATAAATTGATGTTTTCTTTTAATTTGAAATTAAAAGGAAAAAAGGAAAATTAAATAATCATGAGGACGGAGAGAGTGGAGTGGCCCTCTTCCTCACTTATTATTGTTGTTTTGTTTTTGTTTCATATCTTTATTTAATTAATTATAATTATTGATCATGTTAGGACTAAAACTTGTATTAATGAGCGAGACTCTAATTGTTATTGGGAAACTACTTAATAACTAGTTTAAATACACATTCCATAATTCATTAACCAGTTTTTCAGATTCAGTGTTACCACTTATTTTTCTGTGAAGAGATTTCCTAACCTTTCTATTTGGGAGATCTAACCATTCTTTCGAAAAAGGAAAAATCACGTGGATATCTAAGGTTAAAGATTTTCGCCGTTAAGACAGAAAATATGTAAGATCTAACTTAGATATTATTATTGTTATATGTTTTGTCATAATCAGGAAAGACCTATTCAAGAAAATTTTAAACATCTACTGCTGTACTTTCGAGTTACATTACATCAATTTTCTAACAGTGATATTAGAGCCAAACTAATTTTAATGACATTATACGAATTTGTGATGAAATTTTCGTTGGTTTGAAATATATTTTTTTGACAAGGAAAGATATATTTTTTGAGTTTTTTCCGAATTAATGCTAATTAATTAAATAATTACGAAAATAATGTTGGGTTAAGACTTATTACCGATCTACTGCCGGATTTAACCAGGGTCGGAGAAAGTTGCCAAACCATTTGGCGACTTATAAGTCGCCCAACCGGATGACGACTTATAAGTCGCCAAACGGTTTGGCAACTTTTCCCTGCTCCTGCAAAACCACAAACAACCTGTAACACTTGAGATTTAATATAAACGGATTAATAGTACTACCCATACCAACAGAGGTGCATCTCCTTTTAAGGGAGCTCATCACCCAAGAACTCCAAAGTTAAGCGTGCTTGCACGAGAGTAGTCTTGGGATGGGTGACCCCCTGAGAAGTTTCTCAGGGCGCGCACGAGTGAGGACAAAGTGCGCGTAAAAGGCTAGTGGTGGTTTGTGAGGACAGTACTATTGGTCCGGAGTAACTACCTCGGGTCCTTCGGGGCCGAGGTGTTACAGGTGGTATCAGAGCAACCCTGCGACAGTGTGCTGACTCGTTAGATATCGGGCGGGCACTTAGCGGGGGAGGATTCTGGGATTTGATTGAGATTTGAGATTGGTTTATGGGCGCAACGAGGACGTTGCGATCCTAAGTGGGGGTGATTGTAACACTTGAGATTTAATATAAACGGATTAATAGTACTACTCATACCAACAGAAGTGCATCTCCTTTTAAGGGAACTCATCACCCAAGAACTCCAAAGTTAAGCGTGCTTGCACGGGAGTAGTCTTGGGATGGGTGACCCCCTGGGAAGTTTCTCAGGGCGCGCACGAGTGAGGACAAAGTGCGCCTAAAAGGCTAGTGGCGGTTTGTGAGGACAGTACTATTGATCCGGAGTAACTACCTCGGGTCCCACGGGGCCGGGGTGTTACACAACCAGATTAGTACCATTTGAGAACATACCAAAACCTGCTCACAAAACATACAAATAACCAGTAACATACCAGTTACAAATAACATACAAAACATAAGATTCATAACCAATAAAACACAGTACAGACATTCAATATTCATAACGAAACACATCAACACATCATAAACAAAGGAATAAGTACTAATAATACAATATTCAATTGTTTGCAGGTGGAAATACGTCAAATAAAGTCAAGTGTTTCTACAACATTCAGTGTACATGAAAAACTCCAATAATAAAGACAAACTACAAGTTCTCATGGTCTTCTTGATCATCTTGGTCATGGAGATGTTGTTGACGCCTACGCCGCTGTCGTGGTTGAAGAACAACTCTGTCATGCCAAGTCTGGGATGTATAAGGCGGCGCTGCACTAGATGTCGATGCCATGGAATCTTGAGATGAGGGCATATGTATAAGATGGCCATAGTCGACTCTCCCCAACACATCCGAACACAAGGAAGCAATGCCCGTCGGAGCCTGACCGTACGTGTCCACGTCATGTGTATCAGTCATTGTGGCAGTCGCCCGCTGATGTATACGCTGCAAAGCTCGTGTCTGAAATATGAAACAGAATTATAATTACTTAGAAATAAATAATCGTGTTAAATAAAGAACATAAATAACTTTAGTAATTAGTAATACACACACCGTCAAGTGCAAAGCCAAGGAGCTAGGCTGATAATGGTGAGTAGGGAGTCTGAAAGAAGGAGACACAAACAACCGTGTGATGTTGTAATACCACCCCATGTAGTCTCCTGAAACAGATGAGACTAATGTCAATCTCCCAGTCACAACAAGCTCAACTCGCCTCTCCCATATACTCACATATCGGACATGTCTGAGTGCCCAATCCTCCATATGCTTCCCACGCTTATCCACCCTATGAAGATCTACAGATGTGTCGATAGGTGCTGGAATAACCTGCTCATAGCCAAACTGTCGCAGTACACGATCAGGCAAATGAAGCTCAACAATGTCAAAACATATCAACGGCACACGTGCTCGCCATATACGATAATGCTCTCGTCCAGCGGGGGGCAACTCCTCAACCATCTCAGTTGTATACGTCATCCATGTAATCTGTTTCATAAGGATACAAAATTATTATTTATGCTATACATATTATAGTTAATGTTATATTATGCACACCATATCTAGATACAACAACATTTGATGTTGAGGGAGTAGTAGAAGCGTCACCTATGGATTCTTCAATGTATATCTCATAGATGCGTCACAAATTTTATATATATATATATATATATATATATATATATATATATATATATATATATATATAACAATGGATTGAACATCAAAATTCAAAAAAAATTCATACATATTCACATTACACAACAAATCAATTCACAAATGAATTCCTAATTTACAAAATTGAAATTTATAGATTCTAAACCCTAACATGAAAAATAGGATAAAATGGAGATATTTGTTTACCTGGAGTGTTGAAGAAGATGGAAGTGAAGTATTATTGACAAGATAGGGAGGCCTCGTCGTTTGCTCGCCAGAGACGGAGCTTCGCCAGAGTTGGAGGGGATTTCTCGCTTTGCTCGTCGCTAGTCGCTGCAGAGGGATTTTAGTTTGGGGGGAGATTTGCATTCTGTTTGGCAGACCCAACCCGTCTTTCTGTTTAAGGGGTAAGTCGCCAAACAATTGGACGACTTATAAGTCGCCAAACCGGATGGCGACTTATTAGTCGCCAAACCGGATGGCGACTTATAAGTCACCCAACCGTTTGGCGACTTACCCCGATCAGGGTTAAACCCAACAGTATATCAGTAATAAGTTTTAACCCAGCCCTATTTCCGTAAATATTTAATTAATTAACATTAATACGGGAAAAAACTCATATTTTTTAGAACATAACTTTTTGCTAGATCTTGATATTTTTTTATCATCAAAACAAACCACTTATATGAATATCATTAGGAATCGAATCGTTACAACAAACTCAAAAAGACTAACCATGACAACAACTATCTCTAACCAACTAGCATTATCAACCCTACGGCTAGACTCAGAGACGATCACCCCTAAAAGAGCAATACGAATCGCTAACCGCCAAACGGGTGTGACACATGAATCACTCACTGGCCATATAGATCCTTCTAACGACATAATATCCAGCAGAATTGTCAATCATAATTATAGACCTAAAACCAAAGACATCAACAAAAAACAGAGCAACATAAAACATAACGCAAAAATAAAACCATAAGAAATTAAATAACTGATAACTCTTCCAAACCCTAGCATCTCAATCTATCCAAGGCGGCGGTCCAGGAGGGAGACGGACCGCTGATCTGTCTTCTCCCTTGCTCAGCCCTTCACCTTTCCTCATCCATTCGTCGCACGTTCCGCCTCCACTACTACCACCGCCCTCTACCCATGTTCATCTGCCAGAAACTAACCATTCGACCTCCTCCTCAATTACAAGAATGAGACAACACTGGTCTAGATCATTCATAGAAGAAATGATTATCATTTCTTGAACTTTGGATTCGTTTCCAAAGGCTGCAGCCGCACTCACGCCGCCTTAAAAAGCACTCTAGAAGCCTGGAGAAAAAGAACCGCACAAAGCTGGGAGACAAAACCCTACGTGACAGCAAAACTGCTACAGAGAAACGTTGATTAGGGTTAAATTAGAGAGATGTTAGAGCCTCTCTCTACTCCGATGTCTTTAGGTATTTCTATATTGACACTATGCTAGATCTTGGTATTTAAAATTAGATTTGTTAAGATATGAAATTAGAAAAAAAAATGAGATAATGTGCTGCAGTAATTCTGAAAGGAGTGATTATTTATTTGTGTTCTTTCGTTTTTTCGATTTGCAACGACGATCCAATAAGATCTCTTTGACTTTGATGATCGATCTGTAAATATAAGCAAATTTCACGACATGAATATATGTCTCGTGATTCTGCTCCTGGAAGTCGACGACTTGGGGTTTTTGTTCCTTTTCGATCGATCTGAATGGTTTACCTCCTGCAATGATGATCTGTTACAGGTTACTCAACGAGATTGATGAAGAAAAGAGTAACGAGAATACGTAGCTTATCTGGGGATTTAGAAAGTAGAAAAGAAAGGGAAATAGTTTATTATTCTCAAAACGTAAAGAGTATTCATACATTCCAGGCCTTATATAGCCACACCTCCAACCAGCTAACATGCTAACCGTTTAACTAACATATCAACATATGGTTATTGACTAACTCCCATAACAATGCTTCCCCCATTTAAAATGATTTGTCCTCAAGTCAAGCTAGCATAAAACTCCGGGAAGGTCTGTTGAATAAAATCAACCCACTCCCATGTTGCATTTTCAGGTTCCTGGCGTTCCCACTGAATCAGCCACTTCACTCTAGCCTCATTTCCATATTTGCACATCTGTCTTCCCAACACAGCTCCAGGTTTAACTTTATCTGTTGCAGCTATTCCTTGTAGCCACTGAGGAATATGTGGTTTGGAAGGTAAGACTCCCCTGAATTCCTTGAGTAATGATACATGAAAAGTGTGATGCACTTTAGCTCCTGCTGGCAACTTTAGTTTGTAAGCAACTGATCCCACCTTCTTTTCAACCTGAAAAGGACCAAATACTTGGGTGCAAGCTTCTCATTTCCCCTGTGCTCCACAGTCTGTTGCCTGTATGCCTGAAGCTTCAACCATACCCACTCCCCTACCTTAAAGCTTCTTTCAGACCTATGCTTATCAGCTTGAACCTTCATGCGATTTTGAGCTTTCTGTAAATTAGCCTTCAGCTTTTTAATCATGTTTTCTCTCTGCTGCAATGACCTATCCACAGCCTCCACATTAGTCTCACCTGCTAGGTATGGTAGATGCAAAGGAGGATTTTGATTATAGACAGCCTGATATGGAGTCATTTTAGTAGCAGAATGAAAAGTGGTATTATACCACCACTCAGCCAGGGGTAGCCATTTGCACCAATCTTTGGGACTGTCGAGACACATACATCTCAAGTAATTCTCTAAACATCTATTGACTACCTCAGTTTGCCCATCAGTCTGAGGGTGAAATGAGGTAGACAATAATAAATCAACCCCTTGCACACTGAACAATGCATTCCAAAAGTTGCTAAGGAAAGTTGCTCCCCTGTCGCTTACAATGATCCTTGGCCAACCATGCAGTTTAAAAACATGATCTGGGTAAGTCTGAGCCACTTCCATAGCTGTATAAGGATGCTTCAGAGCCATGAAGTGGGCATACTTGCTCAATCTGTCTACCACCACAAAGATCACCTCCTTCCCACATGAAATAGGTAATCCTTCTACAAAGTCCATGGAAACATCCCTCCAAACCTCTGCAGGTATAGGTAGTGGCTGTAGGTATAAGCAGCATTATCATATTTACAAATTTGGCACACTGCACAAGCTCTAATATATGCTTGCACATCCCTATTCATACCCCTCCAGTAGAAAAAATGGTGCATTCTTTGTAAAGTAGGCTCTCTGCCAGAGTGTGCTCCCACAGAAGACCCATGTGCCCATAGAATTATAGTCCTCCTGACTTCCTTGTCATTGCCCACCACAATCTTATTCTTTCTTATGAGTATTCCCTCCATCATCTGGTAATACTGCACTTCCTGGGGAGATACCCCTGCTGTTACTTTCCCAATTATATCCTTAATATTATCATCTCCTGCATAGCTATGTTTAATCAATTCTAATAGATTAGAATCAACTATAGATAAAGCTAAACATAGCAACTCTGCGCCATTACCTCTGGATAAAGCATCTGCCACTTTATTCTCTACTCCACTCTTGTAATGTGATAACCGCTTTCGCGGCGTTGTAGTAAAACGGAGTCTAACCTTTCGGTTTTTCCCCGAGTATCGTGTCTCTCGAGGAATGGCAGAGGAGCTTCTTGATTTTAAGTCCAGTCACAGGTTATCGCAAATTATTGGAAGCTTTCCAAATTAAACTTTTGATTGATTTTCTAAACTACTTTTTTGGAAAGGAAAGTAAATTAAATTGTGCAAATACTAATGATGGCTCAAAAATAAACTAAAGAAAAAAATATAATATTAAACTTAAATGGATTGATGCAAATAAGGGCAATGAATTGAGTAATTAGAAATGGATATATTCTTGGACCTAGTAATTAGGGAAATTAAAACTAAAATTGGACTAATAATTTCTTTCCTCATAGACAAGAATGCAAACTATTTTCATTAATTTATCCTATTTCTAGGTGTCATTAATGTGTTCAAAATGGTTGGCTTGAATTAAATTCTAACCTCATAGACAAGGTAGAAATAATTCTCCAATATTTTAATTAATAAAAATAGCCAAATTCATTAACTAGTTAAACTCTTTATTTTAGCAATTGAATTTATCTCTCATAGACAAGATGTAAATCCCTTTCATTAAATTATCCTATTTCTAGGCCTTATTAATGTGCTTGAATATGGTTGGCTAAAATTATTTTCTAATCTCATAGACAAGTTAGAAATAATTTTCCAAGAATTTAATTAATGAATATGGCTAACAATTATTAATTACTATTTCATCATTTCAAACAACTAGTCCAAATTATTAATTTTAATCCCTAATTTTCGGTCAACAAGTCAATCCATATTCCTTTAGTCAATTCATGCCCAAAACAAATTTAACTAATAAACATCATTTTTTCATTTAACAATACAATGAATAAATTCAACATTAACAAGGAATTAAGCATGTATTATAGCGAAAATTAAACAAAAATAATATTCTGCCAAAATAAACTTGTAGAACTAAAATATCACCTTCTGGAATTTTTCCCGAATTTTATAACCTAAAATCCAATTTTAACAACTAATTGATAATTTTCTCAATATTAACTAGAAAATACAAAAAAGCAACTACAAATATTCTCAATTCGTTCTAAATTTTATATTGACTACTAGGAGTGATATTACTGTGAATTAAACTGGAATTAGGACAGAAACTAATTTTTTTGCCTTTTTTTGAGTATTTAATTTCATTTATGCAATAATAACAACTAAATGCCGGAATTAATTAAAATTTACTTCTACTTCGTAAAAATTAACTTTGTTTTGATAAATAACTACCTTGAGGCTAGTAAACAACTATATAATTAATTGGAATGGATTTAATGTCAACAACTATTTTATTCAAATTTAAGAAGAAAATGCGAAATAGTGGAATAATTTTCTGGAAATTTTAGAAGCACAGATAGAAAAACTAAATACAGATTCAGATTCTACTCATTGAAAGGATGAAAATACATATAAAGAACTCACAATTTGGAGCTAAAATGAGAAAGATATGAAAGATTGAAGTTGAAGGTGCAACAATGGTGGAAATCCGAGCTTTGAGGAGGAGGAAGACGCCCTTTTTGATCTGATTTGGGCTTGAAATTGGTGTCTTTTAGTTCAGCAAAAATCGGTCTATTTATAGGACAATTTTCCCGTAGGCGCCCAAGCAGGCGGCCGCCTTCCGTCGGCATCTGGCCGCCTGCCGTAGGCGGCCAACCAGGCGGCCGCCTTTGGTCTCATTTTGGCCGCCTTCCGTCTAATCACCGGCAGACCGGATCCGGCGAATCCCGGCCACCGCAGGCGGTCCAGCAGGCGGCCGCCTGCCGTTCCTG